CAATTGAGTTAAAGTTAAGGAATCATTGATACAATTTACTCTTAACAAAAAGAATAAAAAGTTGTTGCAAGTAAATAATACAAAAAATAACTTTTTAGAATAAAAATATTCTTAACGTTAAACGTAAACAGTACTAAAAATATTTTATTAAGATTTCACAAAAAATTGACACATGCTGATGTGGCGTTATTAGAGGCCACCCTCCCCTGGAAATCCGAATAAAAAAATAAGAAGTCCACAAAACCCCCAAAAAATAAAATAAAAATTCATTGCATTTTTCCAATTTTCCAATTATTATTATTATTTTTTTTTCGAATTTTCACAAGAATTAAACGAAGAACACATGCTGATGATGCCCGCCATCAATGCCGCACTCGATTCTTTGCAATCTCAGTGATTCGGTGTTTGATTGATTTGATTGGACCGTCCTTCGTCGATTCCAGCTTTCGCATCTTCGTTTCCGTACGCTATCCCTCTCTCCCTCTTTTTCTCGTTTTCTCTGTTGATTTGGTGTTTCCTAGTAAGAAGCAGATCGTTTCATAATCGAAAATTGGAGCCAGTGTCGGTGGTGATTTGGTAATTTTGTGTGTTTGCCATTGTTGTTGCTGCAGTTTTGAGCTGCTTTGCGCCTGAAAAATCTGAAATTTCGGATGATGAGGTACGAATTTTGAATGTGGGTATTTATGGTACGTCTGTTTTGTGATTTTTACTGGAAATTGATTGGAATTGGTTGGATATTTCTTTCTGGGATATGCTAGATCCGTGTAAAGGTTTGGGCTTTGAATTGAGGGAAAGAATGTGGAAGATGGGAGAGAGCCAGAAGTTCCAGCTGGGAACCATTGGGGCTCTGAGTTTGTCGGTGGTGTCGTCGGTGTCAATCGTGATTTGCAACAAGGCGCTTATTAGCACACTTGGTTTCACTTTTGGTGAGTAATGCACCTGTTTGATATGAAATTTGGCATATGTATATATTGGTTTTCTGCTTTGTTTGGGTGGTTGGAAATCTTTCTATGGCACATTTTTTGGTTTTAAGATAGTGTTAAATGATAAATGTCGGTAGAATTTGGTTGCTTCAATACATATAATGTTGGAAAAGAATTTTCTAGTTAATTTGGCTGGTACATCTTAAAAGCTTGAATGTGGTTTACTTTGATGGAAACCGAAAAGATGCTTGGTCATGATTCATGAATGTAGAGCTAATTTATGATAACCACAGAGGGAAATACGAAAGATTTGAGTAACATATGTATTCTCTTTTCGTTTGCTTTTTTTGAGAATTCTCGTGTGTATTCTCTAAGGTGATTCATTAAAAAATTGTGTTACAAAGATCATGCTAATGATCTTTAACTCATATGTGTTCTCTTTTTTTGAGTATCATATGTATTTGTTTTGTTTCTTGTAATTATATAGTTTCTTTAACTTAACATCATGCTAATGATCATGATATTATACTATCGCCTTGTCAATGTTAATTAATATACTAAATCACAATATGGGATATGCAGCCACAACTTTGACAAGCTGGCATCTTCTAGTCACATTTTGTTCGCTTCACGTGGCGTTATGGATGAAATTTTTTGAACACAAGCCTTTTGATGCTAGTTCTGTAATGGGATTTGGAATTCTTAATGGAATCTCTATTGGCCTTCTGAATCTTAGCTTGGGTTTCAATTCCGTTGGTTTTTACCAGGTAAAGTTCTTGTTAGTTTTGCCTGCCTTCCTCAACTTGAGACATGCATTTTTAATGTTGTACTGTATGTGATCCACTTCATGCTATGATTATTTACTTCTTTACCTAACGATATTACATTTTCATTTTAAAATCTGTTACTGTTTCAGCAGTTTTAATGTAAATTATCAATTTCTGAAGAAATTTTCTCTTAATTTTCTTTATCAGATGACAAAACTGGCAATCATCCCTTGTACTGTTCTTCTGGAGACCCTTTTCTTTAAGAAGAAATTCAGGTCAGTGTTTATCATAGATCGGTAGTGGGATGAATTTGTTTGTAGTTCAATCTAGTTTGAATTAAACTTGGGAAATTTTCTATATAGGATGTTATATTTGCTTTCACTATTTACCTGAGTCATTATATTAAGTTTTGATGCACGATTTCGTTGAATTTTCAACTGATACAACCACATACTGGTTCTGACACTCTTTACCTTATGACAGTCGAAGTGTCCAGTTTTCACTTTCCATCCTTCTTTTGGGAGTTGGGGTTGCAACAGTGACGGATCTTCAACTCAATGCCCTGGGTTCTTTTTTGTCCTTGCTGGCAGTTTTAACAACCTGTGTTGCTCAGATTGTATCCTAAATTGAACTGAGCTTTTCTATTTCATTAGATGCATTGTACATGTTTAATGTTTAAGCAAAGCGCCTTTGATAAAAGAAGAAAGCATATCAATAAGATCTGCATTATTTACTGATTACTGTATGGCATTATGGTAGCGTTTATTGTTTTAGGACCTTAACAGCTACTTCAGATGACCAATACCATCCAGAAGAAGTTCAAAGTTTCATCAACCCAACTTCTGTACCAATCTTGCCCTTATCAGGCAATAACGTTGTTTGTCATTGGTCCATTTCTAGATGGACTTTTGACTAATCAAAATGTCTTCTCATTTGCATATACCCCTCAAGTGCTGGTGAGTATTCAATATTTCCTCAGCGTTGCCTCCCCCAACCCCTTTCCGACATTTCTATATCCTTCATTTACCGTGATATTGTCTATGTTGCAGTTCTTCATTGTTCTGTCCTGCCTGATATCTGTCTCCGTAAACTTCAGTACATTTTTGGTTATTGGAAAGACGTCTGCAGTAACCTATCAGGTCCTTGGACATCTGAAAACATGCCTTGTTTTGGCATTTGGCTACATTCTACTTCATGATCCATTTAGCGGGCGCAACATTTTGGGGATATTGATTGCTATAGTCGGGATGGTGCTCTATTCTTATTATTGCACTCTCGAGAGCCAGCGGAAGGCTAATGAAGTATCCCAACAGTTACCCCAGGTGTGTCCCAAGTTTTCATATCCCATTCACACGTTCTCTATATAATTCCCATATCCTTTATCTGAAATATTAATAGGCACAAACTTGTGCCGATTCATTGGCTAATACTACTTATCCTCCCCATTGTGCCGATTCATTGGCTAATACTACTTATCCTCCCCATGGTTGCAGACAAGAGAAAGTGAAGGTGCTCAGTTATTAGGTGTGGAAAATGGAAGTGGGAACGATCCTAAAATTCCTGCATGGAAGAACAAGGACCTACAAGCTTAAAAGCCTGTGCGATCCCTGAGTTCATTTGCGGTAGATCAAATTTAGTGGGGGAAAAGTTGTTCCGGCAATGAAGATGTTGCTGGAGAGGGGTTTCTATATGTGGCACCGTGGGTTTATAATTTCCATTGTAGAAGGAAGCTTCAGGTCAAAGAAATGTCTCATTTTTTCTTACTTTGTATAGCAGTTTTGGTTATTATTTTTGTCTGAAACGGGTTTGGCAAATCGGATTTATACCGAAAATTTTGTGTTGTACCCAAATTTTAGTTGTATTAGTGAAGATAGTGAAAATTGCTGAACCTCAGTTTTTGGTCTGCAGATTTCATGAGGTTAGCCCTCTAAATGTAGTTGAGAAAACAAAAAACATAATCGCACTTGTACCAGTATGAGAGAACAAGTGCATTTTCCTGGAGCAATGAAGGCATAATTGTGATTACATGTTTTCTCATGCCATGGTGTCGGGGAATGTACGGTTCTTATGTTGTTTGACTGTAAATTTGATATGTACGTATCATTCTAGATCAAATTTGATATGGCTCCAGCATATTTAGGGCTCGTTTGTAAGTGATTTTAAGTCAGGAAGTATTTTAAATGACTTAAAACGTTTTTAGAGAAAAAAAAATTGGATTCTAAAAGCACTTAAGGTAGTAGCAAAATGATTTTGGGTTCTAAAAGCATTTAAGTGCTTTTTCAAATTTTTATCAATGATTGGTTTAAAAAATATTTTCATCAAAACATTTTCAACCATTTTAAAAACACTTCCAAACGAACTAATACTTTCAATACAAAATGTAATCACTATAGTACAAAAAGATAGCTCTAACGCCATATTTTAGGGAGGTGTATTCAATTAGACATCGGAGAGATTTTAATAGATTTATAAATCCATGGATTTTTATGAAGTTTAATTGATTTGCAGAGATTTAATGTAAAAAATTGATTCAATTCTCTTGAAATCTCATATGGAGATGTGAGATTTGTGGATGCTTAAAATACACTACAAAATCTCTCAAATTCCCTCAAATTCCTTAACTTTTTTGAAATCTTTAAAATCAAATTTAAACTTAATACACCTGGAATTTATAAACTTCCTTAAAATCCTAATTGAATACACTTAGATTTCTAAGAATTTTAATAAATTATCTTAAAATCATGATTGAATACACATTGAATTTCAGATAATTACTTAAAATCCAGATTGAATACTCCTAGATTCATTAAAAGAATTAAAATCTTTTAAAATCCCAATTGAATACACCCCAATGTTGGAAAAAAAAAAAAGAGGAGTTGTAGTAATTATCATTGATCCCTCAACTTTAACCTAATTAGAGCAATGGTCCCTCAACTTTAACTCAATTGTAGTCATAACCCATCTAATATAACTCATTTTGACAAAATTCTGACAAAAATGACCAGAGCTACACATTTTAATGAGTTAAGGGATTTTAATTATAGCAATGGTCCTTTCCACATAACCCATTTTAACAAAATTCAGACGAAGTTGATGAAAATGACTATAGCTACATATTTTAATGAGTTAAATGACTAATAGTAATAGATTTTTAGTTAAGAGACTATTACTCCAATTTAATTAAAATTAAAAGACTATTGTTATAATTTATGAAAACAACAAGGAAACAATTAATTTATTTTGTTTTGAAACAGAAAAAAAAAAAAAAAAAAAAAAAAAAGGGAACAGATTTTAACGGGCCCGGCCCGAATGGATCATAAGACCCCGCAAAACCCTAGTAAACGAAAGCGTCCACAAATATATATCCTCCTACCATAAGAGGCCGCCGAAGCGTTTGGCAGCACAAGAAGGGGAAGCTCAGATCGAGACGGCGGCTTAGGGTTTCACTTCCCTGAAGACAAATCAGCAACCATGGTAAACCTTCTCTCCCCCATTTCTCCATCCCCAAATTACACGATTAACGAGTAATATTTTACTTACCATTCAAATTAGAATTCTTAGTCTCTCTCCGTCTGCAGACTTTCAAGAGAAGAAATGGCGGCCGGAACAAGCACGGCCGCGGCCACGTGAAGTTCATCCGCTGCTCCAACTGCGGGAAATGCTGCCCCAAGGTGTGCTTATACCTAATTATCCCTTTTTTGTATTTTTATTAAAGTTTGAATCTTTAGAGGTGAAAGATTTGAAATTCGAAGTGGGTTCTGTGTTTTTAATTAGTTTTTTGGATTATTTTTAAGTGGGTTCTGGTTTTGAATTAGTTTTAGGATTAATTTATTGGGTTTGTGTTAAAAAGGACAAGCTATCAAGAGGTTTCTGGTGAGGAACATTGTTGAGCAGGCTGCAGTTAGGGATGTTCAGGAGGCTTGTGTTTACGATGGTAATAATCCTTTCCCTTCAGTTTAATTCCGTAAATGTTTCTTCGTATTGTTTTCGGTGTTATTTTAGTATTTGGTTTCTGATGACTGCTGATAATGTTTTACTGGGAATGCTGTTTGATTTGAAGGTTACACTCTTCCTAAGCTGTATGCTAAGATGCAATACTGCGTTTCTTGTGCCATCCACTCCCACGTTGTGAGGGTTCGGTCTCGCGAGAACAGGAGGAACCGTGAGCCCCCTCAGCGTTTCAGGCGCCGGGTATGCTCTAAACTTCATCCCTATATATCTATATCTTTTATTTTGTTTTAGTTTATGCTTCTATGCAATTTGGCTTATGGTTCAGTGTGACATATACTTTCACATAAGCTGTATGTTTTGTGTTTGTTCAATACTTATGTTTGTTGGGATTTCATGTTTGAAATTATTCATTATAAATTCCACCTAAGTTGACGAGGGTCCATCTATACAAACTTAACAAGTTTAAGAGCAAAGGAGTTAATGCCATGTTGAATTTGCTTAAAAGAGGTTCGGATGCACCCAACTGTGAAGACTCTATTTAGGACATGCATATTTGGTAGCTAAACTTTAGACTTATTATTTGGTTAAATGATCCGTGTACTTCCATTACTAGTGGCATTTAGGAGGTTGAAGACTCATGCTAAACAATTTCTTGTTTAACTTCAAAATTGTATGTAGTATCGTAGTAATATCTCAGTAACATTTACTGGCTAGGAGTTTCTCCTGCTAAAGTTTTTATACCTCCGTCTGATTTCCGAATCCATCTGTTGCTTTCATTCTTAATTAAACGTTTTTATATGCCGATATTAGGATAAATTTTGAAGTGTGGTACTTATAAAAGCACCCTATCTGTCTAGTTCAGCCGCATCCCCTCTACCCAATGTTAGCATTTCACTATTTTGGCTAGATAGTTCCTACCAGGAAGCAACATTTGATATAATTGGTTGTCACATTTGGCCGTAATTTTCTAGTTTGTATATTTGCGTTCATCATTCACTGTCTTTTAATAACCCTTTCAATTTCGATTTATACATTTCAGGAGGATACACCTAGGCCTGGTGCACCTGGTGCTCCTGGTCAGGGTCCACGCCCTGTTGGAGCTGGAGCGCCAGCTGCTCGTCCATGAAAAGGCAACGCATCCGCCTGCTCAATTGCTTTGAGGATGTGCATTGAGGCTTTTAATTTTGGCTGCTACCTCAGCTTTATTTCCATTTTATCTTTGAATGCATCTTTGACTCCGTTGTGACTTATGTGTAATATCATAGTACTTCAGTCTTATATGTTGTACTTATCATGTTGCGGGAAGGTATTTGCGAAAGCAGCCGGAGATTCAAAACCAGAGTTTTTACATATTCATATTCGTATTAACTTTCATCAACTTTTGTTGGTTTTCACTAAATTTTTATCTCCGAAGATTTTGTTACGCTGGTTTTTAGCCTTAAATTGGCACTATGGTCCTTGAACTATATAAGTTTTAGTTTTGGTCTCTAAACTGTGATAATAGTCGTTCTGGTTCTCGAATTATGTTTTGTGTTGAACTTGCACTAGTGGTTCTTTTGGATAACTCTCAACTTTGCTGTCGCTGACGGGCTGGGATTAGGTTGCAGTCGTCTTCATCAAGAAAAATTGTTGGTTTCGAATGGTAATGGTCCTATTTCCTGTTCATTTTTTCAAGTTGCCTAATTAAACTTTTCATTTGTTGGTTTTGGCACAATCCACGACAGAACAATAGCTGTTAAGATCTTGATGCATTCAATCCCTTGACCTATCAAAATACTTTTCAGCAGAGATTTTTTTTAGGCACTGTTGAAATCAGTTGTTTTGCTTTGTCCTTACTATAAGTTTGTTAAGCAATCAAGCCAAATTTGCCGACTGTCATACTGCCGGGTGATGTAGTTTATGCCAAGGAATTTGGATTCTCTCTTGACTTTAGTGTTCGGAGCCTAAGGATTAGGGAATCCAGGCTCTTAATTTGTGCCAAAGCGAAATTGAAACCCTTGTGTTTGTGTGGTGGGCTAATACATTGAGTTAATGGGGTTGGTCGAATTCAATTTGAATGGTCTGAATTTTCAATGTTTGAGCTCTGAACAGTGAGATCTGGAGAGTAATTCTATCCTATGCCAGGGACAGTGGTATTAGGGTTGATGCTTCATGAACACCATTATATGGTGTGGTATTATGGCCATAGACGAAGCTACATAGGGACAAGGAGGGCGGCCGCCCCTCCTCTTGCTGGAAATGAAGCCCAGGAGCGACGGTCCACCTCTTTGCCCTCATTAGAAAACCTGCAAGTTGCGAAGCCTCTCCCTTGGCGATGATGTCGATATGTCGTTTTGCTAGACACCAACGTCAGTTTAGTGCCATTTCCTTGTGCGACAATAGACGACGGCGGTGTTGATAAGGTTTGTTGGAAGGCCTCGCGAAGAAGATGGTCAGCAAAACCCTTTTAATATTTACTACGTCACCGTTTTGTTGAGAGTTCATGATTTTAAAATACGACCTGTCGTTATTTATTTCTATACCGAAACGACACCACATTCTATTCCACATCCTATCTTTTCTTGGGTTTAAATGAGACTAAAGCCCAACAACCAGAACAAAACCATAATCCCTCTTTGAATTCTTTTTTTGGTAATTTAAAAATATGTTGCAAATATTTTTATTATTAAATATTTACCAACATGATACAATTGTTCGTATCGACGTGTTGTATTGTGTAGCCATGTCTGTATTCATGCTTTATAATGCTTGAATGAAGGCTATTGTTGTTGTTGTTGTGTTGTGTGCAACCTTTTTTTAATGATAATAAATAAAAAACAGGTCCAAAACGACGGAACAACGTCATTTTGGACATGAAAAAAAAACAAAAAACAAAAAAATAAAAGACAAGCTGCATCGTTTCAATGGTTAAGTTTCACCCCCCATTCCATCAACAACTATTGGCTTCGCCACTGGTTATGGCTGGATACTTGATGGGCCAAGGGCATTTAACAAAATGTTGTACGGACTATAACACGAGTAAATTTGCATTTCGTTTATATTTGAACAATAACTGATTTTTTTTCTAAACATTGGTTTTGCACCTTATGGGGGTAAGGAAAAAGGTTGACAAGTCCACAGAGGATCAATTGACCATTGATGTAGATAGACATGGATGCTATGGCGGGCGTAGGAAAATGGATGCCAGGTTAAAGGAGAATTGACGAACAAGGATCCTCTCTGGATCCTCTTTGCGGGGATCTAGAGATTAATTAATTATGTCTGTTCATTATCGTATATTGTACGGTTAGTTTTCGCTAGGCATTATTTATATTTATTTTAAAACTTAAAATTTTAAAATTATTTCTAACTGTTGTACAATAAACGAACATGATTAATTGATCATCCGGATCTCCACAAAGATGATCCGAAGAGGATACTTGTCCAGAATAGACAAACGTAATTGCGTCTCTGAGTTTAAATTTTGAAAATGTCAAAAGTCATGATGGCCAAACATGTCTGAATGTTGAAAGAAGCCATGTGCACTGCCATCCAAATCCACATCCAACACAAACATCACATTTTTTGCTTAGCGGGATGCCGCAAAGGACAATCTTTGAAATTTGAGTTGTACGACGTGATTATCGGTAAGACGTCTTTCATAAAGATACAGAATTTTGTTAATTTTAGATATATCTATATCCGATCTTACGTTTACGTTAAGAGTTGTACGACATTATTATCGGTAAGACGTCTTTCATAAAGATACAGAATTTTGTTAATTTTAAATATATCTATATCCGATCTTACGATTACGTTAACGTTAACTTTACTGATCTTATAAAAGTTGTCCTAGTCAATAATCTTATCGAAATTTTTCTTTTTATTTTTGGTAAAATGTTTTGGATAATTTTTTTTTCCTTTTTTGGGTGAATAATGCCATGCGAACTAAAAGTCTTTGTTTACAAGGCAAGAAAAAAAAAAGTTAATGCATACTAAACCCATATGTGACAATCCTTTGATAACAAGAAGTTTGAGTAACTTGGGGCGCAGGTAACCGACTTAAACCAAATATGTTTTACAGCTGTTATAACTGAGATAACAGTGGCACGCCTAATACTTTATTAGTTTTGATTGTGAGCCTCAAGTCCTATACATAAGGCTCCAAAAAGACACATTTCAAAGCTAACTTCAAACTCATCTTACAACACATCAAGCAGCAGGAGCTCACCCGACCAACATCAACAAAAGTGCCAGTCACCCTTGGAGAACTGTACAAGGGGCCATCCACCTTGTGCCTTCAAACACATACATGCATCAGTGATTGACTATCGTTCATGTACATAAAAAGATAAATCGAATTGAGACACACAAATACTAAGCAAAGAACTGACTCAGTCCTCGTCAGGCTAATTTGAAGCATATGTAGTTTTGTGGTTAGGAAGAACGGAATAAAAAGAATATTCCCAAGAATCTTCAGGGAAAAAGAATTAATGCAAACTTAGGAAATAAACACAATCAGATAAGGATCCGCAAACGTTTGAAAAAAAAAAAAAAAAAAATTAAGTAGGGCACTCAACGACGTCGTTTGACTGCGTCAGCGTGTTGCGGTGTCTGCCTGGCGCAGCATTGCTGCGGCATGTTGTGCTTGCTTTGGTAATAATGATGACATGCTGATGCGTCGTCGTTTCCGCCGCGGCCTCGCGCTTGCATTTGCATGGCGTCGCGTCGCTATGCGGCAGCCATGTGTCCTTGTGTGGTCCACAACTAAAAACTCCCCAAAATTAACGCTAAATTTCACTAGTAGCCCGCGTACTTTTGTTGTATATTTTATTTGCCCCTATAGTTTTCCTTACATTTTCATCCTCCTCCAACGAAGAAATCCCTCTTTCAATCCTTTAAAGCAAGTGTTTAAATTTTTTTCATGACAGAGCAATGTGCACAACTAAGTTGGTGTTAATTTTGCCACTTAGTAATACGGTCTAGTGACATTCTTCTTCACTTGTAAGTGAAAAGTTTTAGATTTGATTATCGCCAAAGGCTAATTTAAATCACATTATTGTTAGCTCATTATGAGGCTAAGCCCATCCCTTATTCTTTAGTGTAAATGATATCGTTTGTTAAAATAATAGTTGGTGTTAATTCCATTAAATGTAGACGTATATCATATTTTTTAGAGCGAATCTACTCTCTAAATGCACTTAGTCGATATCCTCATTTTTACACTATGGATTAGTTAAAGTAAAATCTCGTTCATTTATCAAAAAAAAAAAAAAAAAAAAGTGTGTTGACGGCATTTTATGATGATAAAGTCATCGTCAACTGAGTAAACCCTATGGTCTAGTTGAATTTTTCAAATAAGAAGTGCCCATAATTTATTTATTGCAAAAAATCGATAATAAATTGATATTGATAAAGATCTGAAGGCAAAATACCCTGCGGTTATTGGTAACTACGGTTACCCGCCTATTTAAATTTTACGATTACTGTTATGGGTAACCGTTTAGATAAATAAACGGTTATGAGTATAACAGTTTATCCGTGAAATTTAAATGGATGATTATGGATATTAACCGCGGTTATAAACGGGTAACCGTTTACCCATTTATTTTATATATGTAAAATTAACACAAATCATGTTCTCTATCGAACAAAACTTAGATCAATGCTATTGACTATAGGGCATGGTTTATATAGCTAATTATATATATATATTATGTTAATACTTTACATTATAGGTTAAATAACTCAAGCATATCGTCTTCTAAATAGTTTTCGTAACCAAAAATACTTAACAAATATTATATTACCTTCATTGTTAACATGGATTAGTAGTAAAAGTTTCCCAAAAAATTAGAAAAATAAATAACAATTCCCCTCAGCCCCACTCACTTAATTCAACCCAAGACCTGTTCCTCAAACTTGTTGTGACTTGCCATTTCAGCTAATCCCTCACTTTTGTTAACATTTTTACTGTAATTTATATATCCTATATTCCAATTTTGTTTTTTAAAACTAACTTTCTTGCTTTTTCATTCTATATCAATTAAAAATATCGTCTGTAAATTATTATTTCAATTATTAAAATGGTATAAGGAGTTAAAAAAAATTAAAATACGGAAATGTAATGTGAATGTACCTATAAGGGTGTTTAATTGTAAAAAAAAAGAGAAAATTATGAAAAAGAGGTAATGGTAAAAAAAAGATAAATGAGTTAAAAAGGGTAAATGGGTAAACAGGTATTAAACAGTTACGGTTAAATGGGTATGCGGTTATGGGTATGGTTAACAATTTATAAACGGTTATGGGTATAGGTATAACCGTTTATGCAATTACCTAATGGGTAAACGGTTATGCGGATATGAGTATAAATGATTATAGGTAAATAACCATATTTACCCGCCCTTCATAACCGTTGTCCATCCCTAATCTGAACTCGAAACTTGATTCGAGTTACAAAGAAGTGCTCATAATTAAATGAAAATAAAATGGAACTATAAGGACGAAAGTGTAAGCACAAGATATGACTTGAACGAAAGTGTAAGCACAATATATGACTTGAACGAAAGTGTAAGCAAAAGATATTACTTGAACGAAAGTGAAAATTCGACGGGTCTTTCGTGAAAATTTAACTTAATAATAAAATAATAAAATAATAAAATAATAAATAATAAAAAAATAAAGAAAGAAACAGGAGGAGAGAGAGGGAGAGCGAGGGAGAGGGAGGAGGATTTTTGCCGCTTTTGCGTTTGGGTTTGGGGGGTTTTTAAAAGGTTTTTCCTCACACCACCGAAAAACGAAACTGGTCTTCCCTCCCAATCACACCCTCTGATTCCTCCTCCAAATCTCCGACCACCGTCTGTCAACGACTCCCTCAACGGCGCCTTTTGGGCGTTTCCTTCCTCTTCCTCCTTTCATTTCCCTCTCTCTTCTCCTCCCCCAATCTTGCCTCCATTGATCTCATGGCCCGTCTCCTCTGTTCGGCGCTGCCGAACGACGTCGTCTTCCGCGAGGATCGACCCTGCCCTACGCCGTCGTCGCCGTCATTGCCGACCACCAACCCCGATCCCTCCGTCATAGCCACCGAATCTTGGGCCGGAGCAGAGGAGGTAACCCAGGAGATAGTCTCAAAGATTCAGCCCACTCTGGCGGCCAACCAGACGAGGAAGGAGGTCATTCAATACGTGCAGAACCTCATCACATGTAACGTCGGGTGTCAGGTAATTACAATTTTGCCCAATTACATTTCTTTCGAATTCAGTTTTGCCATCTGGGTTAGTGTTTGTTTTGTGCAATTCTTGTGCAATTTGGTGGTAATGGCGATGTGGGTTTATCTGGTCATGTCCAATTTAGTCTAGTCGTGCAGTGCCAATGCCTACCTGTTAGCAAATGAAAATGTTACTTGTGATGTGATTGATCTTGGTTTTTCAAGGTAATGACTTCAATAAATGGAACGGGATTTTCTTGTGTTTTCCTGTTCGATTTCTGTTTAGCAACGAAATGTTGGTACTTGGTGCAAACCGTGAAGCAATATTGTTTTTCGAGTTCATTTTTTTCTGGGGAATCGGTGAAGTTATAATGTTGTTTCTGAGTTTGTTCATTTCACTGAATTGCTTATAAGTTACGATGGCGCTTTTTGTATTGTTATCTCACAGGTTTTTCCTTATGGGTCAGTTCCTTTGAAAACGTATCTGCCTGATGGTGATATTGATATGACGGCATTTGGCAGTGCAAACATTGATGAAGTCTTTGCAACTGATGTGTATGCAATTATGAAGGGAGAGGAGAATAACGAGGCTGGTCCATTTCATGTGAAGGATGTACATTACATTGATGCCGAGGTTCTTCCCCACTTGATGCCTTAATTTTTTGTTGGGAACCTTCAGTCTCTTCAGTTGAAAACATTTATAATTCCATATATTATTAGAGTTCGGATCTTTGATGTAGGTATTATCGCATTTTTCTTTTGTCTGCATCGACTTACAATACTTGTTCTTCTGTGGGATGACTTTCCTATAACTTCGTCTTCTCTTTTTGTGGTAATGTATGTTTGGGAGAGTGTTGAGATTGATGTGTTTAGCAAAATAAGGTTCTTTTGCTAAATGTTATCAATTTTCTCTCGAGTATTGTTTCTTCTGAACTTTGTCTAGAACTGTTTATGTTGGTTCGGAGTTCTTCTGTGGCATATCACCCCCTTTTATTTATGCAACAAAAACTGTTTAGCTTTTCTATTTGCCAGGTTGAATTTGTTGGACTTGACTTTATTTATAGGGAAGGTTTCTGATATTCATGATTGGATATTATGGAACTCAACATCTGCGGGGATTTTGTTGAGTGCTTTAACTTTCTTGCGTTTTAACATCTGTGCTTCATGCCTAATGATGATGCTCCTAGGTTGATGAAGATATCATAATTTTCTTTGTTAGACATTTTCAATTTGCATTTGCGAGGTTACATTATCTAAAATTTGGAGGTTTTCGTTGCAGGTTAAGCTTGTGAAGTGCATTATACAAAATATAGTTGTAGATATATCCTCCAATCAGTTAGGAGGATTTAGTACACTGCACTTTCTTGAACAGGTATTAGCAATTCAAATTTTGATTAGTTACGATTCATATTGTGTAACTGAAAGTTCACTCAGGTTCGATCTTTGGGTCATATTTCTTATGTTGCTTCCTTCGCAGGTTGATAATTATATTGGCAAAAATCATCTGTTCAAGCGGAGTATTATTCTGGTAAAAGCCTGGTGCTACTATGAGAGTCGTATTCTTGGGGCCCATCATGGTTTGATTTCAACATATGCTTTGGAAACATTAATCCTATATGTTTTCCATTTTTTTCATTCATCACTGGATGGCCCTCTGGCAGTGAGTACTCCCAAGTCAACTTTGAGTCCTGATTTCAAATACATAGATAAGTTTAAGTGCCTAATTGTTTTTCATTTCTATAGGTCCTTTATAGATTTTTGGATTACTTCAGCAAATTTGACTGGGAAAACTACTGTATAAGTTTAAATGGACCAGTATGCAAATCGTCCCTGCCTGATATAGTGGGTAAGAGATATTATTGTTTGTTTGTGATGGTAGATGCTTTATTTATGTTTTCTTGCTCTGTCTCTCTATGTCTCTCTGACTCACTCACTTAAAAACTGCAGTTGAGGCACCAGAAAATGGGAGAGATGATCTACTGCTGAGTGAAGAGTTTATTAGAAATTGTGTGGAAATGTTCTCTGTTCCATCAAAGGGGTATGAGACAAACTTGCGAGCTTTTCCCCTGAAGCATCTTAATATAATAGATCCACTAAAACAGAACAACAACCTTGGGCGTAGTGTCAGCAGAAGTATGCATTCTCTCTCTCTCTCTCTCTCTCTCTCTCTCTCATTCTCATGCTGCTGTGGAGTTTTATCGTAGTATGATTCATGGGTTTTGTACAGGTAACTTCTATCGAATATGCAGTGCTTTTAAATATGGAGCTCGCAAGCTTGGTTGGATTCTTTCGTTACCAGGGGAATGCATAGCAGATGAGTTGCCCAAGTTTTTTGCGAACACTTTGGATAGGCATGGAAGCAATGGTCAGACTAATGTGCACAATAATGCCTTGTCTGGAGGTTCTGAAACTTTGAACATTTTGTTGGAGCTTGGTGGTGATTTTGACAGTCATGGAATGAACCTGCAATATGGTCCCTTTTTCCCTGGATCTGCTACATCACCTCCTTTGTTGGAGCTTGGTGGTGATTTTGACGGTCATGGAATGAACCTGCAATATGGTCCCTTTTTCCCTGGATCTGCTACATCACCTCCTTTGTTGCCCAGTCCTCCCTTGTCACCTCAGCCATGGAAAGAGAACCCATGGGGAGGTACGTCTGAAGCCCTTCAGTTCCATCAGAATATTAATTCTCAAACTAACATAAATGGTGTTGATTGGGGAGTACATGCGTACCAAGCAAATGATTCCACTTTCTCCGTTGCTGCTTTCAGAGGAGAAAAAAGGAAACCCCGAGGGACTGGAACCTACATCCCCAATGCGGTAGTGGCATTTTTGTTTTCTATAAAATCATTTTCTCAGACTGCATTCATGTAATTCTTTTGTCACGAGCTTCATATTTTTGGGTTTCTTTTTCTACTAAGTCATTCTCGCAGAGGACTACAGTCCTGGTTTTCATAATCTCATGGTTATCTGCTTACAGTCTTTTCAGTGTTATCGTCCCTTTAAGGATAGGTTGCCTGGAAGGGGAAGGAAACAGGCACCGGGAACTTGTTTCCGATTTCAGAGACATGCCTTTGGTTATGGCTTCACTGTAGCTCCTAAAGAGTCAATCTCCCCTAGAGACTGCAGCCGAGAGCTCTCGGAAGTGGAGTACCCAGTTCTAGGTCATGGAAACTCTGCGACATTAGATTACCATCAACCTCATATGCCTCTTTGGAAATCTTTTCATGACAACAAGTTCTCCAACTTGCCAGTGAAACTCGAATCTAGATCCTCAACCCCTCAGTTATGGGAGGAGGCACCCATGCCAGAATTGGACCATCAAGCGGAGTATTTTGGAGCCGATGAGGAGAGGTAGTTTGATTTGTTAATTTGAAGTAGTCCTGCACAACGGCTTTTCTTCTAAAGCTAAATAGCTCTCTTTTTGTTTGTATCTTCAGGATTGAAGAACAATCATACCACCTGAAAAATGAAGATCAGGCATTCCACCTGAAAAACGAAGATGATTTTCCGCCACTCAACTCTCGAGTGCCGTTGAAGGAAGGATTATGCGTTGGAGAATGAAGACAGTGGACTGAGCTTCCGGGAAGACTTTTCCCCCTCACCTTCGATCTCCTTGGACCTCTGTTATTAGTTGTTTCGATGTGGCATACACATGTTGTACATTCTGGTTCGTTTTTGTCGTTACATATCTACGCGCACATTCGTGCGCTTTCATTGGAACGGGTGGATGATGTATATACGGGGTAAAGTTGGCCCCTCGGCTTGTCATTCCCTCCCAAAGTTTCTAGTTTTAAACACACTTCTGAGAAACCTTTGTTAGGTATCTTTTAGGTTGGTATACAAATGATGAAATCTATAAATGTAACAGGAAAGTTTTGGTTATGTTGAATTTTTTTGGTCGAATGTTATTTTGAATCGATGAAAGTTAATTGCAGTGAAGTTGAGTTTATTTTGGCGAAGCAGTAACAATTGTAGACGTGGGTTTAATCAAGTTTTTTAGAACAATGTGTTTTTCTCTTAGCAATCATGTTCAAACCTAAGTTTGATCAATTAGAATATTGTTGTACTAAAAAAATGAATTCTACAAAGGTTAGCATGTAGGAACCTTATGCTTAAGATGAACAAGTTGTCGCACGTAAGGGCTTGTTTGGTGTCACAATTTAGATTGGATAAGGTCGAGGTAAATGATTTTCATTTCAACAGAGGATTATAAGTGGTTAGAAATGAAGAAAACTCTCAACTCGTCTTACATTTTTGTGAGAGTTAAGTAATTCTTCTACCTTCGTGTTGGGAAAAATTTATTCATTTCTTCCTTCAACGCACACTGAACGTAGTAAGTTTTCTACTATAATTCCGTCCTTGAGGTTGCTCCTTCAATTAGTGATTCACGATAATTAAAAATTTCTCAGACAACTAAACAAGAACGCACCAGTGGTCTAGTGGTAGAATAGTACCCTGCCACGGTACAGACCCGGGTTCGATTCCCGGCTGGTGCATCCCTTCTTTTTACTTTTTCGTTCATGAGAAGAGATTTGTCGACCTTTTGCCCTTTTTTTTTTCAGAAAAAATAAATAATGAAAAGGATAGTTTTGTCTAGTCATATTCCAACCTGGCGACGTGGCAACGGATTTTAGGGAAGAAATAAATAAAGTCGTACTTGGGTGGCACTAATTAAGTAAGAAGAAGAGCATCAAAGTTGCTTTCTCACTCACAATTATTATTCTTAATTAAATTATTAATTATTATACATAGACAATGCTTAAATTACTTCAAATATATAAAAATTGGCTGAATTCATCTGATCTGTCCATTTCATTTCAGTTGTCCTGCCTCCTTCCTTCACCATCACAATAAATCTTTCGAGCCAACAGCCTCTTGCTAATTTCCACAAGTTCAAGTTCAAGCTCTGCGGACTAAGCAAACTGTGGGCGGCTTAACTCAATATATTTTACTATTTGATGATTAGGCAGATGATAACGTTCGCGTATGTAGAGGCATCATTAATTAATTCACGTACAAGGTCGTAATACAAGAAAAGTAAACTAACTAAAAAAAATCTATTTGTGTCGATTTACTATTAGTTATCACGTATAATAAAAGACAAATCTTTCTGTTAATGCTATTTATATATTCTAAACGTGAATATTATGTGATTTGGGAGATTAGGAGGAACTTTTGCATGTCATTAGATCGTATATATTCCCGTGCAAGTGTAGTACTCAGTACGAAGATGTATGACATCCAAGTCTTCCTACAGTATTAGAGCGACAGTTTTTCGTACCAAACTACTCGAAAAACAGATAAACGTCAAGAAATATCAGGAAATAATACAGTAAAGCAAAGGAAGGTATAATACTGTATTTTTTTTGTACCTGTTCATCCTAATTTTTATTGTTATTTACACACGTAAGGATTTACATGCCAAATTAATCAATGGGTACAGAGCTGCCTATATAATCATACTTAACTATAACTACCTGCACTATAATATATAACCATATATATATATATATATTTGAAACAATCATAGTGTTTGACTATTTTCCTGTTCGTAGTGCATTACGTATCATGACTTGCTTCATTAGAAAAAAGAAAGAAAATGGTGTGCTGTGTAACCACATAACCGACTGTTTATCCATTTAAACTATGATATTATTTATTCTTTGTTAATTTGTACACTACAAACTGCAACATGTCTTCCCCATTCTCACCTGTCTGAATTAGTCCAAACGCATAATAGGGTTTTCATATATTTATCTTGTAAGTTTTATCCGTAAATCTTTTATGATTGTAACTTACTGCACAAAAGGTGACGTTGAACTAAATCTTTAGTTAACGATATATTAGCGACTCTATCAGTTTCAATCCAATCTCGTTAAACTTATAATTTAACTACTTAACGGACCAGTGTACGATATTATCAAGTATCTTGTTTTATTAGAAAAAAGGTGTGTTGAGTTATTGATCAGACATGCGTTATAAAACCTCGTAATGAAACATTTATTTATTTTAATTATTACATTATTGTTGTTTGCTAATTTGTACACTACAACCCACAGCAACTAGCTTCCCCAATCTTACCTCTCCTCTTTTGGATGAGTTAGTCCAAACGCAAACTAGGGTTTTGACGTTTTCAGGTTTTAAACTGTTAGCTAGTTCTATAAAACAAGTATTTTGTAATCCATTGCAAATTACGGACGGCGAGTCGCAAGATGGCACTTCTGCATGCATGACTGGTATGCTTAACCAAATTAAATTTTATTTTCTATAAGGTATAAAAATTCTGGTTATAAATTTCACAGGCTTAATGCAGCTTTTATAATTTATTTGAGACCGACACAGACAGTTATATATTGAATAGTTCTTCTTCAAATCTTTAAGAATTAAGAGATTTGGGTTGTTAAAGTGAAGAGGAAGAGATTCAGGATCTTTAATTTATGTAAGTATGAGCCAGTTAAATTGATTAATATGAACCGTAAAATTTAAAATAAATTATCTGAATTTCCTGATGCATTTATATCGGGTATAAAGATCTGGAGAGAAATGGGGACAAATATAAAGAAAAAAATCATTGAGAAAGAGAGGATAAGAATATAATAATTGGGAGTGGGGGGACCCAATGAAAAATTGAAAATGCATGAAAAGACAAGTGAGATGACGATTGATTTGCCAACCCACTACTAAATAATTGGAAAAATGAGGTGGGAGGAGCCCTCGGTGGGTTAACACAGCCGTTTACGGTGATGAAAATTTTCAAATCAAATTAAATTATGCGTTACTAAAACACAAGGAAATCTAATTTATTTGACAGAAGGAGAGATAAAGAGAAGAGCATCAAATAATAGTTGATTAGATTACTTTAGAAATAATAGTTGATTAGAAAGCAAATACAAATAAAATTATTAGACAAATATAAAATATACATCTCTCGACTAAACTTATTCATGAGGGTAATTCATCTTCTTCTTTATGTCTCAAGGTTCTACAATTGCAGACTTGAGGCTATCAAAAATTTATTACATAGTGAACAGAATGGACCTAAAACCGCTTTGGTCTTTTAATAGCTCTGCTCATGCTAACTTATTAAATGTTGGGGAGGGGAGGCAGAATAAGTGAGATCAAACCAGTACTAAGATAATAAACATTATTACTTTATGTTACTACGGTAAAATGCCATTTGCCTTTAAAATGTAATCATAAAAACAATAAAATTACTTTCGGGTCTCCCACATGAACTTTGAGAATCCTCGCAAAGGTGAGGTATTCACAAGATCTTCTTTTTTTTTTTTTTTGGACAAGTATTCACAAGATCTTTGGCGTGTGCAGTAATGATCTTAACTCACTTCAAAATGATTGTTAAAATGATTTTTGTTAAACTCTACAAACCTGATAAAAATCATGAGTTATATGTACGCTATAGCGAATCGGTGTCGAAATTAAATTTTAGTTTAAGAAGGGCCCAATATCTCAATTTGAAACTCTCTCTTTATTTATAAAATTTATTATGCATGTGGTAAGCAACCAACCAATATTATTTGGACTTGATCTGTTATCGTCTTCATCATTATCCTTCTTAAACCTAAACCTCAAGCCTCTATGACTTTCTTCTTCTCCCCATCCAACGATCCCCATACCAAAGTCTTACTCAAAGCTCACAAGCATCAAATTGTCTAAACTCGATAAGAGCCACTCACCTCAAATCAAACTTGATGTAAGAAATTAAAGTAAAAACATCAGATTGAGATCTTGAGCTTACAAAAAATCTTAAAAATCATAAGCATAAAACTATACTTTTGTTTAGCCAAAATGGTTATTAAGATTTGCATAACTCCTCATTTTGATCTCTGAGATTTGAAATCAATAGAAGTAGTCTATGAGTTTGTCCACCATCAATCATTTAGGTCATTCCATAAAAAATCTTCATTAAATAAGGCTAAAATAATAAAATTACCCTTAATTTTGGTTAAATCATTTGATCCATTGTTTATTAAATTGACGGTGTTTTTGTCATTTTGGTCCTTATTTAATATAATTGCTTATGAAATGACCAAAATGATTGATAGTGGACAAACTCAGGAACCGCTTTTATTAATTTCAAATCTCAAGAATTAAAATAATGAGTTATGCAAATATGATGGATCATTTTGGCTAAAAAAACCAAAATTGTTAGAATGGACATGGGAGCTTCCTGATCCATTAATTGCTTCGCCTCTGTAGCCAATTCAATAAGTATATATATATATATATATATAAAATTATTAAGATTACCAACACCATCAGATTTGTTTAGCAGTGAGCGGTACTTTGACAAGCGCTAAACAAACCGTGTTTGCCCCGCATGTAAGCTAAACACATGTGCGTAATCAAATCTATGACTTAGAATGCATAAAAAAATACGCTTAGCAACTTAAGATACAAATATCTTGCATAGGTCTTACTTATATGTATTGCTTTTTATTTTATTTTATTTTATTATTTTTTTTTTAAAGAACTTCCAATAGATTCATGTCAACTATGCAATAATGATACATCATCATACATGCATGTAAGCTTGGTTGTCGTATCCGTGTGATATTACGGATCATGTTGTATCAAATTCGTTATTTTAACAAGTGACCTAATAACGACTATATTCGTTAATAGATTGTGTCATTTTGTGTCAGATTAATAGGTTATGCAAGAAATTCTCATGCCTAATGTCGAGATTTGACAAATGATATTTCATTGAATTCTTAACAAGTGACCCGATAACCATCTGACACGTCAATGGGTTCTTAATGGGTAATTCAATAACGACCCAACTCATTAACATGTTGACCTAAAATCCGTTATTTTTGTGTTATTTCATGTCGAATTAACGAATTGTGTAAAAAATTGACAGCGTTACATGCATGTAACATAACCAAACGGAATTTCAAACTACAAAATGCAAAAAAAGCCAAAGCATTTGACGCAATAAAACAACCCAAACAGTCCCTATGGAGTTGCCGCCACCACCACCTCTTGTCAAAGAGGGACCACTCCCACATTGTCATACGGAACTGGATCTCCTCCGGATCCAAATAATTTGAGCTTAAGGATTAAAAAATACGGATCATTGAATTTTGATCCAACGGCTATAATTATTATAATTTTAGAAGACTCTTTATTTGTAGTCGTTAAATCAAATTTTAACAATTCAAATCTTTTTTTTAAGAGGCTCAATTTATTTGGAACGAGAGGGGATCCGGTTCCCTGTCATACATCTCTTCCTGATTAGTGTACTACTGGTGCAGTGTTTTGCCTCTCTTCTATATTTTATAGCTTTTACTTCTTCTCTCCCAACACGTCAACATGTTAACTTAAAACTTGTTATTTTTGTATTATTTTGTGTTCAATTAACAAGTCCTGTAAAACATTAACAACCATGCATGTAACATTTGCAACGGAATTTCAAACTACAAATGGCAAAAAAAACCAAAGCATTTGACGCAATAAAAAGAAGGGAATGTTTAACGAAAAGCTCCTGATACTGTTCATTTTAACGAAAAACCATATTTTTACGTTAAAAAGTCAATCCTGATATTATTCATTTTACTTTTTATTTTATCGTTATCTTTAAAACTAAAAGTTTTCAAACCATTCTTATTAATTTTCTTGAAAACAACCCAAACAGTCCCTGGTCAGTTGCCACCGCCACCACTTCCCGTCACACGGGGACCACACTCATACATCTCTTCCTGTTCAGTTTCCCTGTTCTATATTTACAGCTTTTACTTCTCTCGCTTCGCTTGAAAACTCAATTGCCTTGCCCACAAACAACAACAGCAACATCCCACAAAAGTGCTTTTACAATTTGGATTCCTCCCCTTTCCCACAAATGGTACCAACAAAGTGTAGCCACAGATTCTTCAAGTTTCGTACCCCATCTTCCACTACACCACAATCTCTCTGATTCTTCAAAACTTTTGACAATTTCTCAAACTGCCCCTCCCAAAAACCCACCAACCATTCCTTACTCCTCAATTCCCCACACAAACACAACTCTCCCTTTCCAAGTTTCAAACTTTCTTTCCATTTGCCTCTGAAATTTGACATCTTTTTAAAACCCAAGTCCCAAATGGTTGCCAACAAGTACGAGGGGGCCTCTCGCGCCATGGTAGTGGGTATGGGTTGGATTATGCTGAGGATTGACTACTCGAGGCTCTTCTGGCTCTTGTTTGGTGTCTTCTCTTATGAAAACCACGAGGGAAAGCCTCGGATTTGATTTCCCAAATTTCCCATTTAATTTTCCCACCACACCCTTTTGATAATTTATAGCAACCTTTAATTTGTTTCTAGTAATCACCTGCTCTCTGGTTTGTTCATCAAGCAAAAGAAACAACGTTTGCTTGGGAAGTCAGTTGCTGGAATCCTCGAACATGTCGATGGCAGACAAGACTGGCTATGTTGAAATGGATCCTACTGCGAGATATGGTCGGGTATGTAATACTAATATGCATGTTACCATTAATTTTTTTCACTAGAAACTTTTTTTTTTTTTTTGAAATTTTGGACGTTACCCAGTTGCCGGAATTGATTGTTTTTGTGGTGGCTCAAAGTGTACTACTTGCTTATACTTTTTTTTACCCCATAAATTATGATGTTTAAGTTCCATTTATTTACACACACACACACACACACATATTAAAGGTGGTTACTATTTGTTTCTTGAAATTATTTAATTAATGAATTTTGAGAACTATCTGAAAAACCATGGAAATGCTTAAACTTTGGAATCTCAGATCATCAGATATTTGACTTTGATCAAATGGTTGGTGAGCATGGATTTCTTGCTCGCCATGAGTAGGTGATCAATATTGTATTGTATGTGTGTGTGTGTGCACGCATGCAGGTATGTTCTTATACACAAGTAGAATAACATTAAGTCTGGTTATAGAGATTAGATAGTTTTGAAGGATGGAATAGTTTATTTGGTCAATCTTGTTTACTGGGTGAGTCATTGTCTAATTCATCATTAAGTACTTTAGCTTAAGCTGGAGTAATCGCCATCCGGGTGATCCCGATGACCTTGAACCCTAACCCATTAGTTTTTTTTATTTTTTTAATTTAATTTAATTTTTTGTGACAGTTGGTGTAAAGAAAGATTGAAAATTTAATACAAGATGCTAATTCTTCTCTTAAATAATATTGGTTTTCAATTCTGTGAGCTCTTTGGACTTGGATTGATGGTGCTTGTTAGGAGTTGAGAAAATTTGGGAAATAAATTTGATTGTTTAATTTGGTGCCTCATTAGTTTAGATGTAAAACAAGGGTGGTGTTATCCACACATCAATTTTTACCCCTCACACACCCCTCTCAATTTCCGGCCATCGGATCGAAAGAACCAAAGAAGATCAATGGACAAAAATTAACAAGGGTGTGTTGGAAGTAAAAGGGGGTGTGTGCTATTCAGTAAAAGGGGGTGTGGGAATAGCACTCCCCTAAAACAAAATCAAAAGGATTTCTTGGCCAGCAAGCATCTTGGTCGAAGTTTTATTCAGTTGTGCTTATGCTATCTATATTATCTCGTAAGGGACAACCTTGTAATACCATTAGAGTGAGAACTTCAAATCTGATTATTCTCCGAATGGTACTCTTTAACTAAAAGTCAGTTCCTGACTCCTGAGCATATGGTTAATTATGGATTCAAGAGTAATTAACCATATGTTGATAATTTCAGTGATAATAATAGTCGATGGAAATTAATAGAATGTTGAGTCAATTAATTTGTTCTGGTTTATGTATGGAAATAAATAAACGGAAATGATATTTTCGATTGCTTTTTGAATAGTATTTTCTTCGTGTTAGTTTGAAGAAGTTCTTGGCAAAGGAGCAATGAAAACAGTGTACAAGGCAATTGATGAGCTGCTTGGGATGGAGGTGGCATGGAATCAGGTAAAACTTAACCAAGTTCTTCGCTCACCAGAGGATTTGCAACGGCTTTACTCAGAAGTTCACCTCCTCAGTACCCTCAACCACGACTCCATAATTCGGTTCTACACCTCCTGGATCGACATTGAGCACAGAACTTTTAACTTCATTACTGAAATGTTCACATCGGGGACGCTAAGAGAGTAATCTTCTTTCCAACTCTAGTATTGCTAACTCTAGTTCCTCAACTTGCATATCTTTTGAACTAGGTAAAACACTGGAAAATGGAGAAAATGTGACATTAGACCCTAATTGTAGCCTCTTCCCTCCAAAGTCGTTTCTTCATTAAATCTATATTAATGAGAAGGACAATGTGATCAACAGATTGGGAACCGTTATCGTTGATACTAATTCTTAAGCATGAAATAGGATTCCTTATTCAATGCATTTGGCTCAATGTATTGATAAACTACTCTATCTTTCATATGCAGGTATAGGAAGAAATATAATCAGGTAGACATCCGAGCCATAAAGAACTGGGCCCGCCAGATCCTTCGGGGTCTTTTATATCTGCATGGACATGATCCTCCAGTGGTCCATAGAGATCTTAAGTGTGACAACATCTTTGTTAATGGGCACCTTGGGCAAGTCAAAATTGGTGATTTAGGGCTTGCAGCAATTCTCCGTGGTTCCCAATCTGCTCACAGTGTCATAGGTACTCGTTTATCTCCATTATTAGCACATAAATTCTGGCACTTATTTCCACTGGAAGATAATTATCTGTCTCTATACTTTTAGGCACTCCAGAGTTCATGGCACCAGAACTATACGACGAAAATTACAACGAACTAGTCGATGTCTATTCATTTGGCATGTGTGTATTAGAGATGCTTACATCTGAATACCCATATAGTGAGTGTGTCAACCCTGCACAAATCTACAAGAAAGTGACAGCGGTAAGGTGAAGTTTTGTAGTCAAGATTAATACGTATCAGTGAACAGAACCTTACCCCTTGCCACTGTTTTTCTTCAGGGGAAGCTTCCAGGAGCATTCTACCGGATTGAAGACTTGGAAGCACAGCGATTTGTTGGCAAATGCTTGGTAAATGCTTCAAAGAGATTATCAGCTAAAGAATTATTACTTGATCCATTTCTCGACTGTGGTAAAGATGAATCATTGCCTTTGGGAAAGCTTGGACGCCCAAAGCCATTTTTAAACGACAAAGAAATGGAGAAGCTGCAATTGAGTGATCATCCAACCAGGACTGACATGACAATCACGGGGAAGCTAAATTCTGAAGATGATACCATCTTTCTCAAAGTTCAGATTGCTGATAAAGACGGTACTATTTAACTTCCTCTGGTTGTTGTTGTCGCTCAAGTGAACTTGAGATTCAAATGGTGAACGTTTCTTCAACTGTTTTCTCATGCAGGTTCTCTTAGGAACATATATTTTCCTTTTGACGTATTAAACGATACACCATTTGATGTTGCAACGGAAATGGTCAAGGAATTGGAGATCACTGATTGGGAGCCATTTGAAATTGCTAATATGATTGAAGGGGAGATATCTGCTCTTGTACCAGATTGGAAACCTGAAGCCTACCACACATTTAAGTATCAAGATGATGACAAAAATGGACCTCACCGTCCTTCTGACTCTCACTGCTACTCATCATCTCGCTCGTCATTATCTGGCTTGATCAATTCTCATGGCATTAATGGAATGACAAGTGGCTGCGATTCACTCCAAGGTATGATTCATAGAACTCACTAAGTTAATTACTGTGACTACTCACTATTATTTTTGGGCCTTTTACTCCTTGAACTTAAAAGCCTAATGGCTTGACTTTAGCCGTCTTTTTCTGTATGCTAGTCTTTCCTAGAAGAACATTGCCTATGGAGGCTAGTTGTAGTCCATTAGAGATCAAGGGGGCTAGTTGCAGTCCTGTTCCATATCTTATAACACGTCCTTGGTGAATAAAGGATTTAATCTGGAGTCTATAAATATGTCAAGAAACTTTACCGAACTGACCAGAACATAAATCACATGATAATATCAACTTTGCAATAGATATGCCCTCCAGCTGAGGCTGATTTTGGGCATATCAGAATATGTCTAAACTGCGACTAAATCAACTTTTGGCTTCGAAAGTAGCCTGTAGTTGGATGAAGGCTTGAACATTGGGATGGGTGTTTTGAGTGTGGGCCGGTTGACTATTGTTGTGTGCTACTCCTGAAGTCTGATCCCGTACATATATGATGCATTTCTAACAAGTTTTATAGGCCAGGCCTTTAGGGCTGCATTTTCCTGCTAAAAGTACTGACACGGGGATTAAGCAAAGCCCCGTCTTAAGATTTTGAGTCTTACATTTTAATTGCAAATGATTGTGGTTGCAGATGATTTGCCTGACGAGACCAGCTCACAAAGCTCATCACATTTGGTAACATCTCCCAACGTAAGTTTCATTTCTGCCAATGAGCATAGGACTAAGATGTTCCCCACAGGAGGAGACAAACATCCCATATCAAAATGTCACAAGTCCACAAGGTTTTGTCCCGAAGAAACACGCAATGCTGGGAAGTCTATAGCGAAAAAATATTTCGAGAGATGCAAAGCTTTTCTAGCATCTGGTTCAAAGGATAAAAGGATCATGGATAGCCAAAAATTGACGAGGAATAGGTCATTAGGAGACACAAGAAGCCAACTACCACACCGGTCTGTGGTTGAAGAGGTGAATAGGAAGCGCTTGTTTAAGACGGTGGGAGCTGTGGAAACTATTGGGTTTCAAGCGCCTTGTGAGATTTCAAAGAAGTTGTAGAACCCGTTAGCTGTTGTTTGTTTTGTTATACAAGAACCACAAGAAATGAGAATGGTAAATTACGCCTGTTACTTTTTACATTTCTCATGAGCAGTAAACTCAGTAAGGGAGGAATGGAAATTTTATTTCCCAATCTGGAGATACAAGAAATGACAGTTTACTGTCTTGATTGCTCCCGATATGGCGGGAATAGTTGTCAAGCCACAAGCAAGGACAAAGTTATACGAATGAATTTGTGGACCACTTCAAGAATCTAGTGACTTGTATGTTGTAAAAAATTTTGTGCAGAAGGATTGTAATTATGCTTCCGTAATGTCTTCTATATCAGGATAAATGCTTAGTCTGTTAGGTTCTTAAATGTGTTGATGCCCTTTTGTTTTAGTGTTTTCCATGAAATAAATCCTATTTAGTTTAGTCTTGACAACTGATAACGTTAATGAAATACACTTGACGAATCAAACTATAGACACAGAATTTCGTCACCTATAGTACTGTAACTGTTGGGTCTACATCAGGTGTTCTAAAATGGAGTTTTGAGGGATGTATGGAAAAGTAAAGTGCATGACAGTACGTGATTGGTTTGCGATACTGCCACAACTAGTATCCGGATGCAGGTAAGTTTCTCTCATTTGGAAGGAACTCAGTCCTAACCTTTACAGCTAGCAGGCTGCAAGTGCAAATATGCCATTTTGCATTATAAGATGATGGTGAACACAGAAACTGATATGTTTTTTGTGTGAGTAGTCCCTGCCTGTATTATCTAATTCACAGTAAACACAGAGACTGATGTGTTTTAGGTACGGGTTGTTTGGATGGGAACTTACACAAACTACTTGGATCCATAATGTTGAATTATTGATGATAGGGTTTGGTAAGGTAGCTGGTTTAGGAAATGTTTCTTGATGGATGTGTTTTGCCAATTTTGGATATGTGAAGGCTGTAGACTTGTTGATATATGCAAAATCCAAACAGTCTTTACCCGGGAATCCTGGGTTGCACATTTTTTGTGGGTTTGATGAATAAGAGTTTGATCATGTTCTAACTCACGAGTCCTTCTACCATACATCAATGCGTATAATATTACCTTTTAAATGGTTCGTATCTATGTGTTTAATTCGTTTGAATTATTGAACATACATCTATCCTTTGAATTCATCAATGCATGCCATACATTGTACTCCAAAAATTTTGCCAACTTCATGCCTATTCACATAACTTTGTTAGTTTTTGTCCATTGATCTTCTTTAATTCATTCGATACAACGGCTGAATGCTAAGAGGGACGTGTGAGAGATAAAAGTAGGTGTGTGGATAGGACCACCCTTTCAAATATTGTAATGATTGGTCCCGTGTAAAATAAGGCCATGCCCTTATAATTAACTCCATTCCAAAATTACATGATTAAGATTTTTTCATGCAACTATAATTAGGCATCCAATTGGAGTAGGCAATGAGTTGTAGTGATGAGAGGATTAGGTAGCAATAGCATGCTGTAATTGTTTGATAAATCATCATATACTTACCGCCCCATATCATGTTTTTAGTGAATCCTATGAAATGAACTCTTACAATACGAAAAAGAAATATTTAGCCAATACTTCTTCTTCAACGAGTTATTAGGAGTAAAAAATTTGAACTTAAAACGTCTTCTAATATTAAAATAAAAAAGGGATGTGCTATTCACACACCCTATTTTATTTCTCACACACCTCTTGATAATTTTTGTCCGTTGATCTTCTTCAATTCATCCGATCCGATAACCGAAAATTAAAAAGATGTGTGAGAAGTAAAATAGGATGTGTGTATATCACATTCCTAAAAAAATACTAGAAATTGTTTGAGTTGAAAGTAACAAAAGCCAAAGGGCAACCTACTTTTTGAAAAAGGGTCGATCAAGCGTGAGATCATGGGATTCATTCCCGGAGATGATTATGATGGTCCTCCAATGAGATTTATTTCCTGAATTTTCTGTGTGGTCCTAATTGGTTTTTTTTTGCTCAGTTTTCAAATCTGGTACTTCTTTGTTCCTTGGTCCTCTTGCATGTTACGATGTGTCCAAATTCGTTATCTTGTCATGTAAGGTTTTCTTGTCATACTGCACAGTCGCAATTGCTAGAAATACCTTCTTTCTCAAAGTATGTATTATTGAGTGATTGTATTGTAAAATCACGAGTTAGATCTTGCATATGATTTAATGAATCTTTGCACGGGTGAAATTTTGTATAGAATTCACACGAGTAAATTCAACGTAGCATTGTAGCCGGACCCAAAAAATAGAGAGAACCAATAATTGACAAAGTTATTTTCTCGCTCCTAGCTAGCTAAGAGTGATTAGCAATCTAATGACTTCATTTGTGGGTCGACTAGCTTTCCAAAAAGAGGAATGCTATCTACTTTTTCTTTGCCTTCCCCTATTTATTTTTTCCACTCATCACTTGAGATGTATATTTATTAACAAATTAAATTACATAATTAATGCATTAAAAGTGTAAATTCTAATTTTCGACTTAAAAAAATGAATTATGTACTTTAGTTTGTTAGTAGAATACACGTGTCAAGTGATAAATGAAAAAGGTAGATAGGGAAAGACAAATGAGGAAGGTAGCTAGCATTCTTCTTCCGAAAATGCTCTTTAGGTTATGCTGGGTTAATAATTCGATTTCATTCTAATATTACCAAAAGGTGAGTGCTAGCAACCTTCTCACTTACATTCTCATTTAAACCTTCTCACTTTTATTCATACTATTACTACGAGTATTACACTAGCACACAAAGCTAAACATTTAATAATCTTAAATGTCGTATCAACTTATACATCTTTTTTAATTTGTTATATGAACTAAAATTTTAAGCAATTTGTCATATCAATTTTCCAAAATCATTAATTTGTCATCTCACTCTAACTCTGTTATGTTTTCCATCCAAAATAAGCTACGTAGCTTGCACACTTATTTACAAGGTTATTTTTGACATTTCAACTCCCCACTCCCTTTCAAGATTATTTCTAAAATTTCAAAGTTATTTCAGACATTTCAGCTGTGACATCCCACATTGCCCAGGAGAGTGATCCTTATATGTATATTCTCATCCCTACCTAGCACGAGGTCTTTTGGGAGCTCATTAGTTTCGGGTTCCATGTGAACTCCAAAGTTAAGCGAGTAGCGCGTGAGAGCACTCCCATGATGGGTGACCCACTGGGAAGTTCTCGTGTGAGTTCCCAAAAACAAAACCGTGATGGCTTGGTTGGGGCCCCAAGTGGACAATATCGTGCTACGGTGGTGGAGTGGCCCGGGTTGTGGTGGAGTCCATGCTCGAATGTGACAATTTGGTATCAAAGCCTAACCATGGCTGTGGTGTGCCGATGAGGACGTCGGACCCCTAAGGGGGGTGGATTGTGACATCCCACATCGCCCAAGGGAGTGATCCTTATATGTATATTCTCATCCCTACCTAGCACAAGGCCTTTTGGAAGCTCACTAGTTTCGGATTCCATGGGAACTCCAAAGTTAAGCGAGTAGCGCGTGAGAGCACTCCCATGATGGGTGACCCACTAGGAAGTTCTCGTGTGAGTTCCCAGAAACAAAACCGTGAGGGCGTGGTCGAGGCCCAAAGTGGATAATATCGTGCTACGGTGGTGGAGCGGCCCGGGTTGTGGTGGGAGCTCGAGCTGGGATGTGACATCAGCTTTTTTTTTTTAATATACATGAATGACCACGTTAAATTCTCAAAACTTGGAATTAGTTAAATTCATGTTAGTAAACCTAATGTCATTTTTAGTAGTTGACAATAAGTTTTTGAAACAAACCCAGCATGTTCTTTTTACCAGCCAAAAGTTTTTTGTTCGTACAAAAGAAAAGTAGGGAACTTGTAAATATGAGGTCAAAAGTCCCAAACCAATTTATTCCCACCCCATATCTATGAAAATGTCTCAAAAGTCCAAAATGACCCTGAACACAAGTCATGTGCAATGTGCATTGTACATGATTTCTTTTGGATGGAAAATTTAAGTAGGTGAGATAACAAATTAATGATTTCAGAAAATTAATATAACAGATTGCTTAAAAATTTAGTTCATATGACAAATTAAAAAAATGTATAAGTTCATACGACATTTCAAAAAATTTCCCTTATATTAACAACAACAAAGCATTTTCCCACTAAGTGGGGTTGACTATATGAATCCTAGAATGTCATTCCCTTATATTAACAAAGGAATAAAAATAGTGGGACTTTGACATGGTTATATTTTAGGTTTAAGTGCTAGTGGAGTACATATGGCATGCAAAGAAGTGAGAAGGTAAGTGAGAAATTCACCATACATGCGCAGATAAGAAATTTACTTTTATAAATTGATAATACTAAGGAGATCAAAATTTTAAATTAAATTTGCAGACCAAATAATGCGTAACCAAAAGGAAATATACACGTTAATCAATACTTAAGTAATAATTTAATCATAAACCACTATATTATTTGATTTATAAATTTAATCTCCTTAGTGTTATCTTTTATAAATATATACCATTTTTACAAACAAAATATAAACTTTTTTATTTATTTTTAACTATGAAGCTATATATTTATTTCCAAGATTCATAATAATTCAGTCTTTGGTGAAACATTGGTGGTTCTAAATTCCCTCCAGATCTCTCACACCAAAGCCACACAATCAATTAATTCGGGCTCTTGAAATTTGATTCAACAACTAAAATTATTATAACTTTTAAAGAGGCCCCTGTTTGTAACCGTTTGATTAAATTTCAAGAACCCGGATTAATTGATTGTGTGGTTTTGGTGGAAGGGGATCTCTTCCGGTAGTCCTCGACCTCGATCTCCTCTGTCATCAAGAAAACAGCACAGTAACTACGGAAATTAGGTTGAATTTATATCAACCCCTCGTACTATATGCTTAATTGTGTGTCAAAATCAACAAGTCAAATGCATTCGGAATGATGAGTCCTCTTGCCATTTCCACCTAAACCGTTCATATATAGGCCATAGGGAGCTGCCACACAATTGCAACTTAATCAGCAGTAACTGGTGGTCTGCATCACTCTTGCATTGCCCGCGGTTCGTGGTATGGCATGTAGCCATGTGGAAACCCTAGCTATCACAAGTCTTGTGCGTTGTGACAACGTAGAACATTGTTACTCTATCTACATGTTACGTCATTAAACTATTAATTTAAAATTGCTACTTAGTATGAATATATGAGCATCTAAATATACAAGTTCTTTGAAGTCGCCCTTTAACCTTTATTCTTATGGAGAGGAGATGCTAATAACCCCAGAAGACAGAGAAAACTTTAACCGTACTTCTCTATCACGTAAGAAGTTGAATAGTATGTATTGTTCGATTAACGGTTGTCATGTGTTATAATAT